GGTCGTTGCTCACACAGCATGCTTTAAGTGTCTGACCAATCAGAATGAGGTATTCGATAATCAATACAATTTCAACWGGTCACGAATCAAACAAGATGGCGATGTGTTCAAATTTATCTCGATTAAGYTTCCTAAAACACATTCTTATTCGTCCAGCGATACGACCCTTGTCTACACTAGCAGCTGACAAAGATCTGAAATCAATCGATGATCTTCCAGGCCATCCTAGCTATCTAGGACTGCGAATACCGATTCGTGTTGCTTTCGCAAAGCTGTTTGCTAAGAAGCCTTTGGGAAAATTATCTTTAGAGTCACAGTTCCAAGATGTTGAGAAATTTGGGAGCATTTTTAGGTCTGAATTCCCTGGTGTCAAAATGGTAACATTGGCYGATCCTATCGATGTGGCCAAGGTATTCCGTAACGAGCCCAAGTATCCAAGACGAATTTCCTTTCCCGTGACTAYCTATTGTCTTGAGAAGAGAAAAGCAGTTCCTGGAGTCTTCTTTGCCAATGGAGAGGATTGGTACAGATATCGTAGCACYGTCAGYAAACGTATCTTAAAACCACGAGAAGTAGCCGAGTATATACCTGTCTTCAAYGACATCGCAAGCGACTTCGTAACTCGACTTRACTYCGTTCGAGWWCCCGCRGGAATTGACACTGARTRTGAAGTAAAAGAACTTAACCAAGAGTTGTTTAAGTGGTCTTTTGAGTCAGTTGCCCATGTCCTGTTTGATCGACGATTTGGRTGCCTTGAAAACGAGGCAAACCCAGAAGCTCAAGCTTTTATTAAGGCTGTTGGAGGATTTTTAGAAACTGTTGTAATTGCTGGGTTGATACCTATCTGGTTCTACAAACTTTACGAGACAAAAACCTTTAGGGAGTGCTACCACCATTACGACACCATGTACAAGTATGCTGACCTGTTCATTGCAAAAAGGGTTGAAGAATTGGAAAGGGAGAGAAAAATGGATCCCAAAAACCTGGAAAGGCAAGCAGAAAATCCAGAAAAAGTTGGCTTCATTGAGTTTCTTTTGACCCAAGAGAATCTGTCAAAAGATGATTTGATGTCAAGTRTCATTGACTTGCTGTTTGCTGGAGTAGATACCACATCGAATACAATGCAGTGGTTTTTGTACATGATGGCCAAAAATCAGGACAAGCAAGAGAGGCTTTTCCAGGAAATAACCCAAGTACTAAAAGATGGTGAAGCGCCAAGTTCAAAGACCCTTGGCAAAATGCCTTACTTGAAAGCCTGCTTCAAGGAAACACTACGAATGTATCCAGTACTCAGTGCATTGACTCGTACAATTCCCACAGACATGGAAATCCAAGGTTATCATCTTCCCAAAGACACTCCTGTTCAGATGTTAACCTATTACATAAGTCGAAGTGAAAGCAATTTYGCAGAAGCACAAAAATTTGTACCTGAAAGATGGCTKCGCAATGAGAAAAAYGAATTGCACGCAATTGATGCMTTTTCTTCMATYCCATTTGGGTTTGGTACAAGAATGTGTGCTGGTCGACGTATAGCTGAGTTAGAGCTCTACCTACTGGCAATAAGATTGGTCCAGAAGTTCAAACTTCACTATCCAGATAATGAAATTGTGGAGCCATTCATGAGAGCAATTACAATTCCAGACAGACCTGTCAGWGTCAAATTCATAGACAGAATGTAACTCTTAATTAGACTGCCCTGCCTTGGCAGAAACTATGCAATTCATACACATTTTTATTATATAGAAAAAATTATAGACAGGACGTAAACGACACAAKTCTGTTGTATAGATTCACGCTTACCTTAAGTCGTAGTAAGATCCAAAGAAAAACTATTTTCTATAAAACTTAGCTCGTTATCTACGCACGTAAAGCTACGCAAGGTCAAATCATGTTTGATTGATGCTAAACGATTCTAGTGATGTGTACAAAAAATGGTTTTCAGTTCATCATTGGCAAAAAGCGAGCATGCCGGATAGATCTTGTGTCATTATTAGAATGTAGCTTAAATGATGGAGTCAATCCGCGGTTGTTATTGGAAACGCCTCTCTCAATAACAGTCACATCGATCTTCACATTACATAAGTGTCTTTTTAAATAGATGCATGATTTTAGGATCGGAAATAACTTCTATATCCTTAGATGGATCAAATCAAGGGTTGCACCCCTCTCAGCCCTTTCTCTGGAACCACCCATCCAATAAAACTATAATTAGACGATGCAATTGTCGTGTGCAACTGTCGTGTCGTCTAAATGCCACTTCACGGCTTGTCTACGGCTCACGCACAGACTCTCGCCTCTTGTAGCGGTTTTAAGCCAAGGTTCAAAATCTTACGACTAGACGTAGGAGAACTCAGCAACATGGACATATAACTGCTTAGTCGGATTTACGTGATGAGATTGTCGTGYGCGACTGCCGTGCCGTGCAAATGCCCGTACGACTCACGCACACAATCATTTTAATACCACGTGTGCGTTTTATTGTCCATTTGCCRTATTTTGTAATAGTAAGTCGAGAAAAAGAGGTGACCGTTTGATATGGGTTGCAAATTTTAATTAAATTTTAATCAAAAAAAATAATAAACCTCTTTATGATACAGGGTGACCGCAAGATGCTCCGCATGACTGAAAGAGGAAGAGAAGACCCTGGAACGAGCCGGTCAGAATCTTCGAGATAAACAACATGGCGTTTTATTCTTTCTCGTCTCCTTTAAGATTTACAAAGTACTATTCATGTCTTGTTCGTCCAGCGATGCGTCCCTTGTCTACTCTGGTAGCTGACAAAGATTTGAAAACAATCGATGATCTTCCTGGCCATCCTAGCTACCTTGGACTRAGCATGGCGATTCGTGTTGCTATCGCTAAGCTTTTCAATAACAAACCTTTGGGAAAATTAGCTTTAGATGCDCAGTTCGAAGATGTTCAGAAATTTGGGAGCATTTTTAGGTCTGAATTCSCAGGCGTTAAAATGGTAACATTGAGCAACCCCAACGATGTGGCCAAGGTGTTACGTAATGAGCCCAAGTATCCAAAACGACTTGACATTCCAGTTATTGAYCTTTACCGTGAGCAGAGGAAAGCAGCTCCTGGAGTCTTCTTTGCCAAYGGAGAGGATTGGTACAGATATCGAAGCACCGTCAGTAAACGTATCTTAAAACCACGAGAAGTAAGCGAGTATATACCAGTCTTTAACGACATCGCAAGCGACTTCGTAACTCGACTTAACTTCGTTCGAGATCCCGCGGGAATTGACACTGAGTATGAAGTAACAAACATTGACAAGGAGTTGTTTAAGTGGTCTTTTGAGTCAGTTGCCCATGTCCTGTTTGATCGACGATTTGGGTGCCTTGGAAACCAGATTAACCCGGAAGCTGAAGATTTTATCAAATCTGTTGGTGGATTTTTGGACACTAT